TGAATTAGCTAATACACCTTAGATCAATGTTTTTCTTATTCACATGAAGGCCATTGAATGTCTAGTGCCTCTGCAGGGCAGACCTTTTCCAAGTAGCAACTCAGAAATCCAGATATACCATTAGAACATGTGACTTTCACGTGGTGAGTGCAAGAAAAGTGAGAGACGGAAGAATATATATTAGTACTCAAAGACTTTGACTTGGTCTAGACACCCAGAATTTTTAAAAAGGAAACATTGGCTAGAACATATATGGGTGTCTATGAAGTTCAGGTAGTCTTTTGCATAACTGGAAGCTTTACTGTCTCTGCCACAGTGTTCCAAAAACCAATATGGTTGTCACCGTGAGATATCAGCTTACCTGGTTGCTGGCTCCTTCTTTACTATTTGGTGGATCATTTCAGGCCACTATGATTCTTTGCCACTAACCCATGCTGCTTGGTATCAAGTTTGTACAAAAATCTCTTTTTAATTTCCTATAACAATGCTAAATCCACACTATCACTGCACAATATGGCATTATTAAGAGGATAATAAAAAGGAGTTAAGTCAGGAAATTTTTACTTAGACATTAGATAAGTTGACCTCTGAATTCACATCATGGAGAACATTTAGACTAGCTCATACAAAGACCCAGTTGACCCTGAAGTTAGGACCTAGTGTTAGTGGACTACTTATATTCCTCCTCAACGAGAGTGCCCTAATATATCTCCTTTATTAGAGTCCTAGGCCTTAAGTTTCTGAGGCCAAGAGAAGAACCTCTTTTCATCTTTATGAATCTTCAATTCTCTTTAGCAGTGCTAATCTTCTGTGATGAATGACAATTCCAACATCCATTCTTTTCTGAGAAATCATCTCCCTTACTCATAATCTACTTTGCACAAAACTTCCATTAAGCCCAGTATATCAGGTCACACTAAAGAGTAAATTTCTCTTAATCTTGCCATTCTTTCTTGAATAATACTATATGTCAAGCTTCATAAATACAATTCAATTAATGTTTAGGAAATCACAGTTTGGTCTGCAATTTTAATATCTTGGAAGAAACCACATATCCATTAATAGAACAATAACAATGATAGAGGAACTACAATCACACATAATTTATTATTCTTTATAAATGTTTTTTAATTACCCATGCAATATATTTCTTATATTCTTAACAAATTACTTTCTATATGCTATGTCATATGCTATGACATTATTACAAAACTAAACTCTAGAGTTTTGATAACAATTTTATAGAAGAAAACATTTGGAATATAATGACTGAAGGAGAGCTCTTAGACATGGTGCTAAAATCACAATCCATAAAAAAAGTATAAATAAATAAACTGGAATTCACCAAAATTATTTTTTAACTAGAAATTCCCTGTTAAAAGGATGAAAACATATGTAAAAGATTGGAAAACTGCATAAATGACAAAAGATTCATATTTAGATTAAATAATTTTGTTTGTAGAAGAAGCCAAGTAAATATTTTTGTGTCTTTTTTTATTCCACATATAATGTTGGACAACTTAATGTTGTACTAGAGTTTCACTATTAGATTAATGGTAAAAATCAATTGGTATTTGAATCTTCTACTTTTTTTTTTTTTTTTGAACTAATCTAGTGTGGTGAAAGAGCATAGAATTATAATAGGATTAGGTGGAATGCACACAATTTTATTATTAATTTGTCATTAATTAACTAATTATGTGATGTGTGCAAAGTTGCTTAACCCCTAGAAAAATTAGTTGAACTTAAAAGCAAATTAAAATCTACACTGGATAATTATGGCCCTTTATAAATCCAAAATTTGTTTTAAGGAATTTATAAAAAAAAAAATACACATATATGTGCAATGGAAATACCAAGAATTACAATCATATAATGTAGTATCATTCATAAAATATCCTACCATGATGCTAACATCTATGTCTTAAATATAATTAAATATTATTCCCTATTTTTAATTATGGAGTAGAATAATATGATGTCAATATACAAAAACATTGAGAAATACACATTCATTTCTTTTTTTGATCAAAATAATTATTCATGTACTGATTTCCTGAAATTAGAGGCTGCTTTATTTTATTTATTTATTTATTTATTTATTTATTTATTTATAATGTTTATTTTTGAGACAGAGAGAGACAGAGCGTAAACGGGGTAGGGTCAGAGACAGAGGGAGACACAGAATCTGAAGCAGGCTCCAGGCTCTGAGCACAGGCTTTGAGCCTCAGCCCAGAGCCTGATGAGGCTTGAACTCACGGACCATGAGATCATGACCTGAGCTGAAGTCGGATGCTTAACCGAATGAACCACCCAGGCACCCCGAGGTTGCTTTATTTTAATATAATAATGTCAGTGGTGTGGTCATTCAACATTTTATACTGCCTTTATGTTGTTGTTTTTAAAATTTAACACACAATCCAAACCTCAAATGAATTAACAGCATATCATCTAAGTAGGTTTTTTTGTCTTGTATACTGTTGCTAATTTTTCATACTAAATGCTTCTTGATGTTCCTGTTCACAAAACAATGAATGGGTTTGATGTAAAGACTGTATTTCTAATGAAAATGTTACATACTTGTTAGCTTTGACATATACAGAGAATTGGTTAACAAAGTTTATGAACTTGGAATACAAATACTTTTAAAACGTTCTGTAGATAATTTCTGGAGGTCAATTTGCCTTTTTTAGCAGTAAGTCAGATATTGTCCCATTCATCTCTAACATGTGTGGATTGCCCAAAGCCCTGTTCAAGCGAACAAGAATGAAAGAGTATGTTATGTTATTGAAATCTAGGAATTAACAAATAAGGCAAGAATTGTCAGGCCACTACTGTAGTTACTTTTTATTGCCACAATGATGTGCCTAATGAAAACCTATTGAATACAATCTCACAAAACCTTCTCAACTCTGCAGTAAAACACCTAGTGATCCAGGTCTTACAAAAACTACAGCAGAACTCCGAGGCTTGGCCCTTAATAGCATCACTTTATTAATTCTATTCACATGATTTTATCAGTGTGGGGACAAGAGGGAGGCAAGTGACTTGCCCAGGGCACAAACATCAAGGAGGCACTTATTCTGTCATTGCATCAAGTACCAAACATGCACTTGCTCACCTCTGGTGCTGGTAGACAATATATAAACAAATGAAGATACCCATAAAATAAGTTTCAATAAATTTGAAAGAATTAACATGCATAATTTTATGAATTTTAAATTCATAGATTTAAATTCAGAATTTAAAATCCATAGAAACAAAAATTAGATTAGTGGGTGCAAAGACCTTGAGGAAAGGGCAACTGAAGGTTATTAATAGTCATAGGGTTTTTTGGGGGGTGATGGAAATATTCTGGAATTATATAGTGGTGATGGTTGCACAACATTAGAAATAAATTTTTTAAAACCCTCTGATTTGTACTGATTAAAATAACTAAGTGGGGAAAAATAAGATTCAGGCAATATATGCTTACCAATCTTAACAGAATTAACTTAGAAATCAGCAACAGAAACTGTTGGGAAATTTGCAAATATTTGGATATTGAACAAATTTCTAAAGTAACCTAGTCAAAGAAGAAATTACACATGCACACACACACACACACTGTATTAAAATTTATTAAATATAGCTAAAACAATGCTGATAGGAAATTTATAGTTCTAAATTTCTACATTAAAAAAGAAAACTGTTTCAAATCAATATTCTCAGTTTCTACCTTAAAAAAAAAAAAAAAAAA